TCAAGGGACCCCCGGGTGTCCAGTAGGCAAAGAGGGCTATTAGGCCCTGCCAAGGGAGCTTCTGTTCTTTCTTGGCACCCTCGGTGCTTCTGGTGGGATTCAGGGAGGCATCTCTTCCTGAGTAGCTCAAAGTGCTGGGACGCCAACCTTGGTCCTGCATTGGCCTACCCCTTTGAATGTTCTCAATACTCAGTGTCACTGGGACAGAGAAGCCCACAGGGGGTCAAGTCTGGGGAAGGTCCTTTCTCATTGGAAGCTGGCTAGCGTAGGCAGTAGGAGGGGACAGTATTGTACAACAGCATAGGGATGAGAGCCAAAAGGTCAAGGGTTCTAGAACTGGCATAGCCCTCAACTAGCTGTGTGACCTTGGGCAGTTGCATAGCCTCTCTGGGCCTTCATGCCCTATCAATAAGATAAAGGCCTTGGACTAGAAAGTTTTCAAAGTTTTCAGACCTGATAGCCTGCAGTATGCTCAGCCTGCTCCAGGTGGTAACTTTATAAAGGGATGGCCCTGGGATGGGGGGAGTGGCCAGGTCAGCTTAGATTGGACTTGAAGGGGCCTGATGCACCTGCCCTCAGGCCATGGAGATGTCACTGTTGCGCTGCTACTGCTGCTTTATGTTCTTCAGGTCTAGCAGGGGAGCTCTTCTTAAGGTCATTCCCACTGCAAGCCTGAGGTTCTGGATGACCCACAATGCGTATTTTCTAGAGTTCAAGCTGCTGCTTGTGGCTGCAGAACTGTCTCTATGCAAAGCCTGGGGCTTATTCCATGGCACAGCCACATAACCAGTAAGATGAAGCAACCCAGGAGCTAGCAGCCCTTGGCACACAGAGCCTTTCTCCTGCGGGCCCCCAGAAGACCCAGCAAAGGCCAAGGGCAGGACACACTCCAGGGATTGTTAGCTAACTCCCATCCCCCACCAGGTCAGGGAGCAGAGTCTGCTTAGGAAACTGTAAAAATGGACTAGAGGGTCTGCTCCTGGAAGCCTGGTATAGAGAACACTGAGCTGGGAGCCAGGGGCCTTGAGTTTTAGTCCCTGTTCTGCTATGAGATGGACGAGAACAACTCTGGGCAAAGCTGAATATTTGGGGCCTCTCTATCCTGGTATGTAAAGTGGGAATAATAATCTTTATACGCTCCTGTGCACGGAAATGCTTACAGGGAGTCCCAGAGCCAGGAACTTCTCAGATCTCTCCCTGGCCTGTGGACCCCTGCCCTGCCCACCTGCCATGCTGTGCCCTGCTGCAGGATGTCTGGAGGGCATGGAACAAGCTTTGAGTGGGGATCCCTGCAAGCTGCACAGGCACAGCCAGGTGGCAGCAGTGACAGTCCTCCATGCCAACCTGTTTCATGGCACAATAAAAGCTGCCAAGTGTATTATCCCAGGGGACAACCTCAGAGACCACCCTAGGGGTAAGTGGAGAGGAACGGCAGGGCCAGAAAAGAATGATTGGAGGTTAGGCCAGGGAAATGACCCAGAGTCACCCTGTGCCCCTGCTCTACCCTGTGCCCCTGCCCCTGAGCCCCTATGAAGCCTTGGTCTGCAGATAGGTTGTGGAAAGGCTGGGGCACATCAAGGACTTGGTCGTCTGGGTTCTATTTCTGGCAAAGGCCAGGGCTAGGGGAGGCCCAGCTTCTGGTCTTGGCCCTGCCCCTTTTAGCTCAGGACCTGGGGACAAGAAGTCTCCTCCCTGCCCTATTGCCCATCTGCTCAAGGCATCTGCCCCGAGGGTGAGGTCAGGCCTCCAGTGGGAGGCTGGAATCTGGGCAATTGCCCTTGAAGAATTGAGGAAAGGAAATGAGTTAGTGCCGTGACAGTTTAGACATCAGGAAGAACTAACAGTAGGATAGGGCAGCAGGCTGTGAAATATCTAAAGAAGGGTGAGAAGGGTGGTGCCTGAAGAGGAGAACTCTTCTGAATGGCCTAAGGTGGTTTGGGTGGAGTGGCGGGGGCGGTGGAGAGCAGTGGGCCTTACTCTGAGTGTTGCTCTCCTCTAGCTTGGGGGATGCCCGTCCTTCCTGATGTCTCTGCCTGGACGTGAACTTCCCTTCATGGATAATTCTCAGTCTGGTCTTAGAGTCCCAGAACTCTCTCCTGCCCTAGCTTGAGAGGCAGGCCCTGCTCCTGCTGGCTTCACAGCACAGCGCTCTCTCCTCTACCGAGACCAGGGCTGCCTGCTCCCCAACTCCCCCCATGGGGCTTCCAGCCCTGTTTCCCACATGGCCCTTCCCAGCTGCTCCTGGCTGCACACCGCACCTGTTCAACACCAGTTCCCTTTCTGGTCTGACTCCCTCCCTTATGTAGCCCCAGCTTCAAAAGCACCTTTCCCCACCCCACCTCCCAATCTAGTCACCCATTTTCCTCTGGGCCTCACCGCTGTGGCCTCTCAGCCCTCTCTCCTTCAGCCCAAGACAATGGGGCCAGGGCCAGGATAGGGACAGAGGCAGGATTGCAAGGTTGAATGCTTGGCTGGGAAGGAGGAGACTGTGGAGTTCTTTCAGGGGGTCAGGCATGCTGATTAACCCCTCTCAGCCCCAGTTTCTCATGCATAAACTGGGGTAGCAATTCCTGTCTCTTGCTAGCTGGGAGCCTGGTGGGAATCAAATGAAATAATCCATGTGAAGCTGTAAGCCCCGAAGAGATGGGGGACGTTCTTGTGGACATTCTTGCTATGCTGGTCAAGGCTTTCTGTGCTCCTGGCAGGCCTGCTTAGAATCTAAGCCCTGTCCCTTACCTGGCATATGAATTTGGGCATGGCCTTAGCTTCTCTGCATATCAGTTTCAGTATAAAGCAGGGCTAACAATACCCATGCAAAGAGCTGTTGTGAGGTTGAAATGGGGGCTAGAGAAACGCTAGTGGGCTGTGCCTTTGCTATGGTTTGACACACATTTACAGACTGGTCTCTTTTCCTATTTACCTCAAGGAAGGAGGTAAGATTTGCCCCATTTGTACATGCAGAAACAGGCTCTCAAGGGTTACTTGCCCAAGGTAACCCAGGCAGTAAGAAGCTGCAGTCACAGTCAATCGCATCCTCAAACAACAAACCAACCCCATCATCACGGCCAATGTTAACCATGTGTGTTGGGCCTTTGCATGTATCGTTTACACCACAGTGCGGTGATATCATCTGTGACTACAATGGTCTGAAGTGAGGCGATTAGCTGGACCTTACAGATAAGGAAACTGAGATGCAAAGGTTGACATCACTTGCCCCCAGGGTCACCCAACTGGCTTAGAGGTGGCTGGATTCCAACCTGGTCTCTTGGAACCCGGAGTACTTAACAACCCAACCTGACTCTGGCTCTTTCCACAAGCTCCACCCAGTCCTGACAGGACTCAGGGCCCAATCAAGGGTCACATGGAAAAGTTCCATAAGACCAAGATCTGTGCAGGAACCCCAGGACCCCACCCCCAGGCTCCCAGTGATGCTCCCAGGTCCCAGTTCTTAGGCCATGTCACAAAGGCAAAGTGAACACCCAGTACCTGTGTTTCAGGGAGAAAACTGCCCCAAGTGGCTTTTCCTCTAACTCAAGAAGGCCAGTGGACTCAGATGCAAACAAATGTGGGGTAAAATCCTGACTATTCTAGGCAACCTAAGATCTGAATCTTAGCTTGCTTATCTGTAAAATGGGCTTCTAAAAGTACCAACCTCCCAGGGATGTAGGGATGACTTTGTGAGGCCATAGGCGTGAAAGTTTATTGTCAGCTCTAAGTGCCATACATATATGAGCCATGGGTATTTTATTGTATTGCAGTGGGGGAAGATTTATAGTATGAGCATGACGGGGAGTGAGACGAGGCAGGTCCCCCGGTAAAGGGCAAGTCTCAGGTGTCACTGGTGGGAATCGCAGGGCCTCCCACCGCTGGGGATTGTCCCTCTTACTAAAGGACCTTATTCTGGCCTTTGTCCAGCACGGTCTTTCTTCTAAGATGAACTTGCACCACGTTTTGGCCCCTTTGCTCATGCACAGTTGGTGCTGTGTGTGCCAAGGCAGGAGGGTGGGGAGCGGCCTTTGATATGTAACTGCTGTGTGCCAGGCATCCAGGAGGCAAGAGTCTCCTGTCTGATCTCATGGGAGCCTCAGAGCTATTATTAGGCCTATTTTACAGATGAAGGAAAAGGGAGGTAAATAACTGGCCCAAGGTCACACTGCTACTACATGAATAGACCCAGATCTGCCTGATTTCAAAGCCAGTGCCTTAAGTGGGTGCGTTCTGTATTTCCACATACGCTTGCCATCTTCTTTGCCCCCAATCCCAGTTCTGTTCCAGAAGCTGCTAGGGATTAACTTATCTCCTTTTTGTAGAAATCAATTCTCTAGACAATGGCCACCTCAGCCCTGGACCCACTAGGTTAGCAGCAGCAGCCACCACCCTTTCAGGTCCCTAAGTACACCTAAAGTGCCCTCCTGCCCAGTGACTGGGGCCTCAGACCCACATCTGCCAAGCAGCCTCCGTAACTCTCTAGGGGAGCCGCTCCTGGTCCCTGACTCTGACATGCCAAGTGAGGTCAGGAGCTCAAGATTCCTCCTTGAATTCACCCCACAGCTCCCAGAAAAATGAGAAAGCGATAAAATTAATCACATTGAGCTCCCAGAGGAGAGAATTAAAAAACATAAAAACAAAACACCCTACCTGGCGGGGGTGATGCTGTTGACTTGGGCCAGATGTTCTAATAAGGGGGACTTTCACCTGGGCAGCTCAGCAATAATATAAAATGCGACAGAGGTACCAGAGGCCCCAGGGGGCTAGAGGCTTCTGTCTCCTTTGCACATCCCTGCAGGCTGGGTCCTCAGCACGGGGTCCCCCAGCACAGGTGGGCTTCTTCTACAATTCCTGCTGCTTCCGGGAAATCTGCCCTCCTGAGCAGCCAATCAGTTCTCAGAGGAAATTACTATGAAAGTTGGATGTGACCTGTGGGCCAGCTTGTCCCGCTTCTCTGGAAACAAGGGAGGGTCTGAAGGGCAAGGGATGTCCAGGACCTCTGTAAAGGCAAGATGGAGGTGAGAAGGTGCCTGGTCTGACTGACGGCAAGCCGAGGGCCCTCAGGCTCGTCCCCTCACCCTCCTGCCCACTGGTTCCCGCTTTCAGATTTGGAGCACCCCCAAGTCTGTCCAGGAAAGGAACAGGACTGGCATTTGTTGACCGGCTGCTATGGCCCCTGCCTCCCTCCTTCAAGGGTCTGCAGAACCTAGCGGTTGAGAGCATGACCTCTGGAGCCCGACTTCTAGGCTCAAACCCTCACTCTGCTCCTTTCTAGCTGTGAGAACTTGGTCTAGTCACTTAACCTCTCCACCTTTGTTTTTGCCCCAGTGCAAAATGGGATACTCATAGTTCCTATGTTGTAGGGTTAAGAGGATTGAGTAAGTACATACGAAGCACTTAGAGCGTGTTATGGCGTCTGTGACTATAAACTGAAGTACTAAATCTAAATTAATAAATCACTCCACCTACGGCTGGGTGAGGTTAAGGATGCTGTCCAAGAGTGGTGGAACCATACCTCAGCTTACACACCTTCTCCCGCACCCGGCCTCTCCGGTTTCCCTGAAGTGCGTGTTCATGTGTGTGTGTGCTCACGCAGGCACGCCAAAACTCTGGGGCTGCTAAGAATGCTGAGAATACAGGTCAGGGTTTTTCTTTAGCAATGCCTTTTGCACTTTGTGGCCATGGCTTGTAGTAAGAACAATATTTTCTAATCTAACCTCTAAACACAAAAGAGAAAAGGCTTGGGAGGCAGGGCATGGAAGGAAGCGGGCAGTAGGGGTGGCTGCTTCCCCCACAGGGGCCTCATTTCCTTGGCAGGAGCTTTCAGAGCGGGGACCAGCAGCAGGCTTTTCTCCTGACTCTCCTTAGACACTTTAAGCCTACACAGGTGCCTCAAGCTGCAGGCAAATGGCCCACCCCCCACTGTCTACCCAGCTCTGCAGGTCCTAGTGGGGAAGACTATAGGGTGGCTGGGGACAGAGGCTCTTGGAACTTCCTTCTGTGCTTGGAGGTGCCCCTCCTCTCAGATGCTTCCTTGTCTAGGAGGCTTTGTTCAACCCCTAGCTGTGTGCCCCTGAGCCTTTACTTCCTAGCTCAGCAGCGCCTAGGGCCGGGGTGGGTTGGCGGACGAGCAGCCTGAGGGATGCTCTTTACTCTGCTTTCAGAATGGCTCCCCAGCAAGGACATCTGCTCGGACGTCTCCCACTGAGACATCTCCAGCCGGGACATCTCCGGCTCGGGCATCTCCGACTGGGACATCTTCAGCCCGGACATCTTCGGCTCGGAGTTCTTCGGCTCGGGCATCTCCGGCTCGGGCATCTCCAGCTCGGGCTTCACCTTCCAGGTCATCATCCAGCAGGTCATCATCTGCCAGGTCGGCCTCCGTGGCATCCTCCCCAACCAGAGTGTACCTTGTTAGAGCAACCCCAGTGGGGGCTGTACCTGTCCGGGCATCTGCTGCCAGGTCGGCACCAGCCACCAGGGCCACCAGGGAGAGCCCAGGTAAGGGAAATGCTACAGGGAAGGCAAGAGGAAGGGGGAAGGTGTCCGCGGGGAGGGGAAATCTCAGGGGAAATAGTGGAAAATGATTCCGGGGATGGATGGTTGGGGTGGGCGGTGAGGGACCTGGGGAGGTGGGAGAAGAAAGAAACTCTTATAGGAAAACTCAAGAAACCGGGACCCAGGAAGCAGTGTTTGCAGGCTGCATGACCCAGGTTGGAGAGCTGGCTGCAAGGGCCCTCAATTAGAGACAGGTTTCTTCCTTGGGCGGCCTTGTGTATCTGCCTGGGAAGCTGGAGTCATGGTCAATGGGCCAACCAGTGGGTGGAGGAGGAAAGAGGGAGGTTCTGAGCAGGCATGCACCTCCACCCCCAGCCTTCCAAACTCTGGGTTGTATGGTTCAGCTACCAAGAAGTCAGAGAGGTCAAGCAGACCTAGGGGACTGGCTCTGCCTTAGGGCAGCTCTCCTCCCATCCCAACTTGCCCTCCTCCCATCCCAGGCTTCAGGCTATCCCCACCACCACCATACAAACATCCCTGGATGAGAACTGGAGGATCACCTAAGGTTCAGGGCCCATCCACAGTCTTGCCCTCTTTAGGGCAGGTGATGTCCTGCAGCATGGTGAGCTTTGCCAGCAGACATGCCACATTTGAATCCCTACCATGCCATTAACTAGCCAGATAACCTTGGCTAACTATTTCACGTCCATGAACCTCAGTTTTCTCATCTATCAAATGGGCCTAATGAGACTCGGCTCATAAGATTGCTATGAGAAGTAAGCAAGAGAACACATGCAAAGGGCCTGGCTGGCCCAGACAAAGAGCTTGGTCTAAGACCTCAGTTGGCAGGGTGGTACCTTATTCTGGGGTGAAGAGGTCCTAACAGGGCCTCTCCCTCCTCCACTGCGTCAGACTCCTCCACAGTAGGCTCACCCTTCCTTCTCCTAGGTATCAGCCTGCCCAAGTTCTCCTGCCGGGAAGGCCTGAAGCGGCTGCCCCTCATCGGGTGCGTGCTCCTCCTCATCGCCCTGGTGGCGTCCCTCATCATCCTCTGTGAGTTGAAGGAGGGAGCAGGGGTGGGTTCTGGTCACTGTGGGGGTGAGGTTGGGTGGGAGCTAGGGAGAGGGGGCATGAGGCAGGGACAGAGCTGGGAACCTGAGGCTTCCCTATCCACAAAGGGCCACTGCTGCAAATGATCGTGGACCACAGTGTACCCTCCCCCGAGGGAGCCAGATTAGGAGTGGGGGAGTCAGGAGATCCTGGGCTTGGGCTCATCTGTGCTACTTGGGCAGTTTAGTTGACCACTCTGAGCTCATTTTCTATAGCTTCATTTGGAATAAAATTCATTTGTTCATGCAATCTACTATGTGCCCCATAAAATCTCATTCCAAATTTCCCGGGTTATATGGAATAAATGAGATAATGGTACAATACCTGGCACAAAATCTCACTCTAAAAATGCTAGCGCTTTCAGGCTGGACCCAGTGGCTCACACTTGTAATCTCAGCATTCTGGGAACCAAGGCAGGAGTATTACTTGAGGCCAGGAGTTGGAGACCAACCTGAGCAAGAGTGAGACCCTGTCTCTATGAAAAATAGAGAAATTAGTCAAGTCTGGTGGCACATACCTGTAGTCTCAGTTATTCAGGAGGCTGGGGCAGGAAGATTGCTCAAGCCCAGGAATTTGAGGTTGTGGTGAGCTATGATGATTCCATTGTGTTCCAGCCAGGGGAAAAAAGTGAGGCCTGGTCTCAAAAACCCAAAATAAACTATTTTAAAAAAAACAAACCCAACATGAAAACATTGGTTGGAGGAAGCCTGTAGCCAGGTGGTGGTGTGGTGGCTCATGCCTGTAATCTTAGCACTCTGGGAGGTCAGGAGGTCAAGTCCAATCTAAGCAATGAGTGAGTCTCATCTCTACTAAAAATAGAAAAAATTAGCTAGATGTGGCATCATGCCCCTGTAGTCCCAGCTACTTGAGAGGCTGAGATAGGAGGATCTCTGGAGCCCAGGAGTTTGAGGTTGCCGCGAGCTATGATAACACCATTGCACCGTAGCCTAAAGACTTTCAGTGATATTTAGTCAATGGAATGAATTTCAATGTTCAGGGGCCCAGGTCCCTCAATCTCCTCCGTCTCTGTAGAAATGATGCCCAGGAATGTCCCTTGGTTCTCTGCTCGAGGGTCTACTGTAAGCCCAACATAGTGGGAAACCTTAGGAGGGAGCAGATGTGACCACATATTCTGCTCTCCTGTCCTCAGTGAGGTGACTGTCTCCTGGAGTATGCCTGGGAGTCATGAAGGGCAGATACATTTGAGTATGACTATGAGGAAGAGGGGACAGCTGTGAAGGCTGGGTGCAAGGGACAGCTCCTGATGGGGCTGGATGAGGACCTGGAAGATGGGAGAGCCCTAGAAGGGGCACCTGAGCAGTCGGCAGCCACAGGGAACATGGGTGGCTGAGTGGGCAAGGGCAGTGCTGGGGAGAAAGAGAGGGAGGACCCAGAGAGGAGAGTGCACATTTGGGGACTTAAAGCCATCTGTTCGTTTTGGTAAGACCAGGCCACACCATAGAAAACTTTATATGCCGGGCTAAAGAATAAGGACTCTTGTTGAAGGGGTACCATGAGTGGTGACAGGCTGGGTGGGCCAGCACGTGGAGACATCTGCTGGTGGGCTGTTTAAGGAGGAGGCAGCGTGTTGGAAGGGCAGGCCATAGCACCAGGCAGACTGTGACACCTGGCTCTGCCTGCTGCATGACTTTGTCAAGTTCATTAACATTCAGGCTTCAGTTTTCCCTTCGGCCTGACCAGGCTGTGGAGTCACTGTCAGGATGCACAGAAAGACCTCAGCACAGTGCCTGCCACGTGCAGCCTCCTGCTGGCACCTGCTGCCCTGCCCTCCCTTCTTTCCCCACCCAGGGAACCACCCGAGGAGAAATGAGATGGCACCCATGAGTGGGCTCACTGACCAGAATTAAAGCTCTCAGTGTGGTTTCACAGCATTTTCTGAAGGCTGTCTGCCGGGGCAGCCTGTAGACTTCCAGGGCCAGAGAGGTGGCTTGGCTTGTGCAGGTCACAGAGCAGCTTCATGGCTGGGCATGAATAGAGCCCAGGCCTCTGGCCCCCTGCCCAGCACGCTTTTCCCTGTGTGTCGATGTGCAATTTCATGAGTGTTCTCAGGGAGACCATCCAGGAGCGTCCTAGAGCAGTGGTTCTCAATCTTCCTAATGCCGTGGCTCTTTAATACAGTTCCTGTGGGTCGCAACCCACAGGTTGAGAACCGCTGCCCTACAAGCTCCATGTCCAGCATGTGGGAAGAGGCCCAGGCCTTGGAGAGAAGGGGCAGCCCAAAAGATTAGGAGGGACCTGAAGGGATCAATTGTATAGGGCAGGCTTCAGCCCGTGGATGGAGATCGTGGTGGGGCCCAGGGCAGGAGTAGGTGATGGGGCTCAGGAGCCTGGTGAGGACCAGAGGTGTCTCCTGGCAGGAGAGGCCACAGTTTTTGGTTAGGGATGGCTTTAGGGATGGGGGAAGGCAGGAGGCTAATTTTCACCTGTGGTTTGTGAAGCTGTTTTCTTTTAGACCCAGTTTGTACAATTGGGAATCAGCTACCTAAAACTTTTCATGAGAAGACAGTTCAAGGCACAAGGTCAAGTAACGGGGAAGGAACAGAGCACGAGGGATGTCCCTTGTTTAGGGGTGAAGGAGGAAGAAAAAGTCCAGGAGCTTCTGAGGCTGGAAGGATGGTAGCCTTTGAGAACAGACAGGTGGTGATGGCATGTGTGTGTGACCGTGAAGACACAATTTCTCTCTGTGCTCTGCGGAGCACAGGGGTGGTGGGAAGGCAGAGGGATTCTGAAAGGGGGTGCTGGGATGCTAGAGGCGATGGTTTCTCTGGCCACTGCCCCGCCAGCGTGTAAGGAGGAGAGTTCCCCCAATGCTGCCCATCTCCACACCTCTCCCTCTCGCCGTCTCTGTCTCTCTGTGTCTCTCTGGGTGGCTGGCTGCTGGAGTCTTCCTGGTGCTGCCCTGCTTGCATGAGCTTTCTGGAGCACTCCAGAGCATTTCTGAGCAGCCTTTCTCTCCTTACAGATGGGGGACGAGAACCCCAGATTCCCAGAGGGATTGCAGGTCGGTGTCTCCGAACCCCCAGGGCCTCGGGCTGCTTAGAGTGTCATCTCTCCAGGCTGGCAGTGACCCAGCTGTCTGCTTCTTCTCTTTCAGTCTACTTCTGGCGGGGCCACACGGGGATCAAGTACAAGGAGCAGGTAGAGAGCTGTCCCAAGCACGCCGTTCGCTGTGATGGGGTGGTGGACTGCAAACTGAAGAGTGACGAGCTGGGCTGCGGTAAGGAGGCTGGGCACAGGGGGAGAGAGAGAGAGAGAGAGAGTGTGTGTGTGTGTGTGCTCATATGTGCCTGCACCTGTGGTGCAAACTGTGTGGCACAGCTCAAACAGCAGGCAGTAGACTGGGAATCAGAAGCTCTGGGGTCTAGTTATAATAAACTTGGGTTTGGGCCAGGAGCTGTGGCTCACATCTGTAATCCTAGCACTTTGGGAGACCGAGGTATATGGATCGCCTGACCTCAGGAGTTTGAGACTAGCCTGAGCAAAAGCAAGACCCCATCTTTAAAACTAGCTGGGTGTTGCGGCGGGCATCTATAGTCTCAGCTATTTGGGAGGCTAAGGCAAGAGGATTGCTTGAACCTAGGAATTTGAGGTTGCTGTGAGCTGTCATGCCACGGCCTGACAGATCTCTTTGAACTCCTGTCCTCGGTGGTTCTTATACGTATTGCCTACCTACCGCCCTGCTGTGGGGTGTGAGCACATCCCATTCATAACACCTGTACATGTCCATGTGCCCTTGCCCAAGACTGTGTCCGTCTGTGACTGAGCCTGTCTCATGGGCATTCAGTCAAATTATAGACCTTATCCCCCTTGTCATCCTCTTGTCTGGGCACAGTGTGATGGCTCCCAGCAGTGCTTGTGCCTTTTCCCAGAAATGGCCCCCCTGGGTCCTTTTGGGTAGAGAGCTCTCTGCCTTGCCTCAGCCCCTCGGCTTGCTCTGCTTTACTGAGTGTCCTGAGCTTCTGACCGTCACTAATGAGGCCAAGCTCTCAGACCATTCCCAGGCCTCAGCAAGGAGCCTCAGGATAAGAGCTTTGCAGGACCTTACTCAGCTCATAGCCCAAGAGCTTGAATCTTCCTAGATGCTAAGGACATACTCCACCTTTTTCTTGCCTGGCAGTGAGGTTTGACTGGGACAAGTCTCTGCTTAAAGTCTACTCTGGGTCCTCCCATCAGTGGCTTCCCATCTGCAGTGACAGCTGGAATGAGTCCTACTCAGAGAAGACTTGCCAGCAGCTGGGCTTCGAGAGGTAAACCTCCCCCCTTCCCCAATCCCGGGGTTCCAGTTTCAGAGCTGCCCCAAGCATGTCAGACCAGGGCTGATCCCACTAGCTCAGGACATGCTTGAGGTAGTCAAAGACACAGGGCCCCTGGGATCCTGTGAGTTTAGACCAAGCTATTTCCACAAGGCCAAAGCAATTATTGTACAGCTGGAATAGATCCGATTGCTGTATTTTTCTTTGTATCAAAGCATCCTCATGTCCATTATCACATTTAATGGTCACAATGGTACCCCTGTGAGGGGTGTAGGTATGTGGGCAGGCCTTTTTCTCTTATATCTGGGAACTAGAAGTTCAGTCTGTGCAAAGCCCTTCAGCAGACTTTGAGCTGTAGAAGTTGTGGCTTGGGCGAGAACTCTTTAAATGGGAAATGGGATGGAGCAGGTGAGGCCAGGCAAAATCATAAGGATCTTTGACTCCAAAGATTTTAAACAAATCAGCCAATGCTAGTGGGTGGAGCAGGGAGCAGGGTGAGCAATGGCCTTCCCACCTGAAGGAGCGTCTAATGTGTAGGCCAGAATGGCATCTCCATGCTACCTCTTGATCTGTGTTTTCAAGCTAAGTAGTTTGGGGGTTCACCAGTGTGTGTGAGGTTGTGGGGTGAAGAGTGTAGGATCTCACTGCAGAATCTTTGTAAAAGAATCCCCTGAAAAACCAGGGGCGGGGGGATCTAGGACTTAGAACTAGTTCTCTGCACCCATCTGAGCCTCAGAGTTCAGATTCACAAACGGGGGATCTGAGTGATCCACAGGGAAAACGGTGGGCACCTCTTGTCAATGTGTTGGGTGACCTTCCGCAAGTCGGAACCTCCCTTACTCAAAGAACATTCACTGAGCTTCTATTATGTGCCAAAGGCTGTGTGGCCCCTGAACACGAAGGATCCCACCTTTGAAGAACCTCTGGTGTGGTCAGTGAGAGAGACTTAAACAGTAGGCCCAGCCCAATGTGATGTGTAATGATAAGGACGCGGATCAGGCACCAAGGGCGCCTAACTGCCCCTGGAAGAGAGCGCAGAGTAGAGGCACAGACCCTCCGAGTAGAGGAATGGCGAGTGGAAAAGCCTGGTGTCACGCAACAGTGCTGCTTTCTAGAAATGCACACCAGTCCCACGCAGAGAGTGGCACACATCAGAATCACCTGCTGTGATTGTAAGACTGCGCCCCATAACCAAATCTCTGGCATTCGGACTTCAAGCTGCTTAGCAAACATCCCAAGGTGATTCTTTGGCACCCTGTGGTCTGAGATCCAGTGGGCTTCTCCAGAAGTTCTCAAACTTTAATATATAAGTCAGTAACTGGGATTCTTTAAAATGCAGATTCTGTTTCAGTAGGCCTGGAGTGCTGCTGCCACCCGGTTACCTTATCACAGTTTGGATAGAAAAGGGTTAGACTGGTGTTTCTTTTTTTTTTTTTTTTTTTTC